TTTGGATAAGTTTGCACACTGTTTTTTGGGCGGCGGGAAACTGTGAGTGCATTTTTGGATGTTTTTCGATACGATGTTGGTGTATCTTTACACGCTGGTTTTGGGAGGGGGGAATTATGTGCGTTTTTTTTTTTTTTTTTTAATTTTTTGGTCGATTCAGTGTTTGGATACCTTTGCACACGGATTTTGGGAAGGGGGGAATTATGGGCGCATGTTTGGATTTTTTCTGTTAGGTGTTGGGATTTCATTTTTCTACTGATGAATTATGGCAAAGTTTTGGATTGTTTTATTGTATTCGGTGTTTGGATTTCTTTGCACATTCTTTTTGGGAGGGTTGGAATTATGGGCGTTTTTTTGGAGTTTTTCGATACGATGTTTTTATATCTTTACACACTGATGTTGGGAGGAGTGATTTCTGGGATCATTTTTTGAGTTTTTTTCGATTCGGTGTTTGGGTTTCTTTACACGCTGACTTTGGGAGGGTGGAACTATGGTAACTATGGGCGTTCTTTTTTGTTTTTTTTGGTAGCTTCGGTGTTTGGATATGTTTGCACTCTGTTCTTTGGGAGACGGAAATTATGGGCAATTTTTGGATTTTTTTTTGAGTCGGTGTTAGGAGTTCTTTACACGCTGATTTTTGGGAGGGGGGAATTCCGAGCGACTTTTGGATGTTTTTTCGATTATTTGTGTCTCTTTGGGGGACGATGTATGTGTGTGTGTGTTTTTTGCGCGGTTTAAGTGTTTGGAGGCGGATACGGTGTGCCTGTTGCTGCGGGAAAGGGTGGGGGGACCATATTTTGTCATTTCAGGTTTCCAGATTTATGTGTTTGGACAGGGAAGTTGTGTCTTTTCTCCGCGGGAGGGTCTTGGGGGGACTATGTGAATGTGTTTTGTTTTCCGCGTTTTAACTGTTTGGAGGGGGAAACCGTTTCTTTTTTTGCGAGAGGGGTGTCGGGGGGCCGTGTGTTTTATTTTCCAGATTTGATTGCTTGGAGGGGGAAACTGTGTCCTTGGGAGACCATGTTGTTTTCCGTTGTTTTAATTGCTTGGAGGGGGAAAGAAACTGTGTCATTTTTTTGTCTGCGAGAGAAGGGCGCTCGGGGAACTATGTGTTTTGCTTTTGCAGATCGAAGTGTTTGGAGGGGAAGCTGCATCCTTTTTCTCCGCGGGAGGGTGTGTTTTGTTTTCCGCAGTTTAAGTGTTTGGAGGGGAAATTGTATTCTTTTTGTTCGCGAGACGGGGTGGGGCAGACTGTGTGTTTTGATTTGTCAGATTTAAGTGCTTGGAGGGGGAAACTGGGTCAATTTTTTCCGTGAGAGGGGGTGGGCCGACTATGTGTGTTGTTTTCAGCGGTGTAAGTGTTTGGAGGGGCGGGGGGACTGTGTGTATTGTTTTCCACGGTTTAGGGGGAAGCCTGTGTCAACTTTCTCCGCGGGAGGGGGTGGGGGGCAACTTTGTGTTTCGTTTTTGAAGTTCAATTTCCGTTGCGAACACGTAAACCGCAAACAAGCCAAAACACACAGTCCCCCCACCTACCCCACCCGCCCAGCACAAAAAAAGAAGGACACAGTTTCCTCCTCCAACCACTTAAACCACGAAAAACAAGATACATAGTCTCCCCACTTCCTGCAATTTCCCCTCAAGCAATTAAATCTGAAAAACAAAACACACGGCCGCCCCACACCCCCCTCGCAAAAAAAAGGTTTTGTTGTTTCAAATTTAAAGTGTTTGGAGGGGGAAGCGGTGTACTTTTTCTCCCCCGGGTGGGGACATGTGTTTTGTTGTTTCAAGTTTACGTGTTTGGTGGCGGAGACTGTGTCAATTTGTGTCAATTGTTTTTGCGGGAGGGTGGAGGGACTATGGTTTTTCGAGTTCTCGTATTGCGTTTTGCCGCTAGCATCGCAACCGCACGTCGTGCCTACCGCAGCCTTTGGACTTAGGTGTTCCCGCTCCCGTACAGACGGGCACCAGCAACTTGATTGTAGACTGTCAAGGCTTGATGCCACGGGGATCCGACTCGTCATGCTCGCCGCCGTGTCGTCGTAGACGAGGAGGCCGCATGAGGTGTTCATGGTGATTCTATCTTATCCGTTTGGCGACTCTGCAATGAAAGGCCAGCCATGCAAGCCAGGACGGGCCGCCGGCTGCACCTCAGCATGTCCAGGCGGGCCAGCAGCAACAGTAAGCTGAGCAGCTTATCGACAGGACGGTAAATCAGCTTGGACCAGGCCTTCACGAGCATCTTCGGGACCTAGTGGAGTCGAGTGAGAGGGCTGCGAAGGCAGCCGAGGCCCACGCTCGAGTGCGCAGACTGAAAGTGAAAGTGGACCAGTGGAAACTCGGGTGCGAGAGGAGGAACTCCGTACGTGGTGCGAGTGGTGGCTCAGCCTAACCAACTGCTTATCGCGCGTGGCACAACAAGCTCCCCAAAAATCATTTGGCGTCTAGCCGAGTCTAACCCCAGCTTTTGCCGAAGTGCTGGGTGCAAGTGTGGTGCCGGGTGCTGGAGCGGACAAGCCTGTGTCACATGAGCTAATTAAGCCCCGTGCGCTCTCCCCGAACTTCCTGGGATGTTGAGCGTAGTTGACACAACTGAAACGAATCGGTGTCGCTGAGCTCATTTGGCCCTGTCACATTCAATAGTTTGCAGGGTATCATGGACGGGCTTTGTGTAAGCTCTGACCTTTAACCAAGAAGGTACTCTTCTGCGAAGTGTGCAGCGGAAGCATTGGTGGCCGAGACTGTCTAATTTTGGGGTTTCAGGTCTACGTAACTAAGCAACAAAAAAAAGTTGTAGCTTACGCTACGTGATTGTCGTGTTTGGGTTTTGATGGACGAGATAGCTTGTCTAGATTGCTGTTGACATGTTGAGCATCAATCCTTGTCGCTGAGCTCTAACCGTCTCTAATTGTCTTTATGTTAAGGGTGCGGCAGAAACTTTGGTGACCTTGGTAGCCGAGACTTCGTAAGTTCAGTGTTTGAGGCACTTGCTTAAGCAATAAAAAGCATGCGACATGAGTTTCGAGATTGGGCTCTGATGCACGTTGGCGAGTCTAGATTGGTGCTGGGATGCTGAGTGTAGTTGACCAACCTGACGCCAGTCAGTCGGTGTCGCCGATCTCATGAAGCCATGTGGTGCTCAAGAATCGTCAGCGTATGACGGTTGCGACACGGTTTGTGCAAGCTCTAACCCATAAAGTATGTTTATGTCGTGTATTAAGTATGCAGCGGAAGCTTTGGTGACCTTCAAGACTTTGTAAGTTCAGGGTTTGAGGTGCTTGCTGTTGCCACAAAAGGCGTGGTTGTTTGCAATACATTGAGCCGCTACATGAGTTTCGGGTTTGGGTTCTGATGCACGTTGGCAAGTCGAGATTGGTGCCATCGGTGTCGCTGATCTCATGAAGCGTCAGCGTGTGATTGTCACAGCACGGTTTGTGCAAGCCTTGACCGATGAGATATTCTGATTTTAAAGTGTGCAGCGGAAGCTTGGGTGGCCGAAAAGGTGCGCAGCGGGAGCTTCGGTGATCGATGCTATGTAGTTTTAGGGTTTGAGGCATTTACTTACGCAACTAAAGGCATGGTGGTTTGCGTTACATGTGTTTCGGGTTTGCGTTCTGATGGACGATAGCTAGTTTAGATTGATGCTGAGCCCAGTCAGCCGGTGTCGCTGATGTCATGAAGCGATGTCGTGCTCAAGGGTCTTCAATGTATGATGGTTACGACAGCTGCTGAAATATTTTTATGTTAATTAAGCTTTGGCGGTCGAGACTGTGTAATAATTGGGGATCAGGTCCAACATCAGACATGCTGGCTTATGCTATGTGATTTAGCTGGTCGACGATCGATCGTATGGTGACGGGATGCTGAAGGTAGTCACAAGCTGAAACCCGTCGCTGTCGTTGATCTCAGCAAGCATCTGCGTATGATGGTTACGAATCAGCTTGTGTAAGCTCTAAGATGGCATGGTGGCTTACGCTACGTTACGTGATTTTCGGGTTTGGGCAGTAATGGACTCTAGCTGAAGCCAATCGGTGTCACTGATCTCTCGAAGCGATGTCGTGCCCAAAAGTCTTCAACATAAGATGATTGCGCCACGGGTTTTGTAAGCTAAGGCCGGTCAGATGTTCTTGCATAAGAGTGCAACGGATGTTTTGGTGGCCGAGACGGTTTAAACTTTTGGGTTTAAAGTGTGAACTCAAGCAAGTAACGAAAGGCATGGGGGCTTACACGACGTGATCTTTTGGGGTCTCGGTACTGTTTGACGATGTCGGTGATCCCATGAAGCGATGTCGTGCTCAAGAGTTTTCAGCGCGTAGCCGTAGCCCGATAAGGCACTCTTATGTTATGTATGCAGCAGAAGCTTTGGTGGCCGAGACTGCGTAGTTTTTCAGGGTTTCAGGCTTAAACTTGAGCAAGCATAAAAAGAACATGGTGGCTTACACTGCGCCATTTCGGGTTTGCGTTCTGATGGACGGTAGCTGGTCTAGATTGGTACTGAGATGTTGTGTAAGCGCGGTGTCTGAGTTTAAACCACAACTAGGAATTGTCCCCGCCTCACCCTCGAACCGTTATTTCTGTTTTAGCGAGGTGGACGAGTCCATCGGAGTGAGTTTTTGGAAGCATCTCGGCCCGAGCTTCTTGTAGGTGAGTGGGCGGGGTAGATTGCAGGTGCTCATCACTACCCAGATTTTACGGGCGTTGGTGCTCTGAGACGTGTAGCTGCGTAGTTTTCACATGGTGACACGCATGGTTGCATTTTTCACGTGCTTTTACATTTTCATGCAGCTTTCACTTCACGCATGTCTGTTTGCTCCGCCTGGTTTGGAACCACGGCGACAACAACAACAGCAGCAATCACAGTCCATTGCACCAAGAGACACAGCACTCAGCATAGACCCTGCCGATAGTTTTAGCTCGAAGGGCCGCCAGGGTCCCAAGTCCCTGGGCGGAGCGCCCACGAACACGCCTGCATCTCAACATGCAAGCTCCGCAGATGCGAGGGTTGCAGCACGTGCTGCCGGTGCTGCGGGAGCTAACTCCCAGGTCCTGAACATCAGCACAGAAGGACCAGCGAAGCCAGGTAGCGGGGCTTTCCCATCTTCACGAATTCAAAGTAGGAAGCGTGCATACAGGCGAGCTTGCCGAAGAGCACTTGCCTCTGCAGAAGGCACCACCAGATATCGAGGTAGGCTTTGTACAGCAGCCAGCCTCGGTTGCCGCCAAGCACCATTGTCAGGCCAGTCGAGTGCACAGCGCCGTGACACAGTCCGCCAGCAGACTGCAGGTCAACGACTCAGGGTGTGCTCTTTCAACCTTGGAGGCTTTTGTACCGCATCTTATGATACCTTCAAAGTGTGGCTGGAGGACAACGGTCATCGATTTGACCTCCTCCTCTTGCAGGAAACACATTTTGGTTTAGGGAAGGAGCCCAGCGAATTTCAATTACCAGGATGGTCTGTAATTAGTTCGCCTGACTCCAGCCATCGCTGGGCAGGAGTCGCGGTTCTGATTTCCCACCGTGTGGCCGCCGCCAGCTCACTTCAGCATTGCATTGTTGTTCCCGGCCGTCTCCTCCATGTCAGGTTCCCCGTAGGACAAGGACGTCAGGCTCGTCATGTCGACGTAGCGTGCTGCTATCAATGGAGTTGGGACGCAGATCCTGCCAAACAGAGGCTTGACAAGAGGCTTTCATACTGGCGAAGGCTCAACACTTTTGTGCAAGGCCTCCCGGCCAGAAATGTCAAATGCATCGGTGGCGACTTCAATTGTGCACTGAAGGCCCAGCCGAAGCACATCGGCACAGGGCTGCATGCCTCTGACTTTGTCTATCCGGATTCCAATGATTTTGTTCAGGCCATGATTGCTGCCAACCTTTGTGCCCTCAACACTTGGGGTCCCAGCAAGGATGCCTACACATACCGCCTCGACGGCCAGTGCCCGAAGAGGAGTCAAATAGATTTCATCTTTGCATCCTTGCCGCAAACCGATGCGCAGGCTAAGCAAGCCTGCACGGATCGTGCCATCCACTTCGCACCTTGGCGAGGTGGGGGCCGACACTTCGCCATAGTTGCAGACTTGCGCCTTGACACTCGATTTGCAACCCCCCCGACCCGAACAGCCCCCAGCCAAACCTTCTCCAGGACTCGACTCCTTGAGGCTATCCGGTGCAAGGACCCTGTGCTTGAGCAACTCGCATCGGATGTCGACTGTGCCCTTAGCGCTGCCAGGCCCACAACACCGGAGGGCGTCAACGCAGTCCTCTTGAGACACTGTGAGCGCCTTTTTCCTTCAGGGTCCGCTCCAGACCGTAAGGACATTCCTAGGAGTGCTGACCCCAGCAGGCCCGCTCAAGTAGAGCATACCGTCAGGCAAATGTGGGCTGCTTACCACGAATATAAGACTGCTCGAGCCGGGAACCCTGCCCTGACACAGCTGCAAAACACCTCAGCAACGCTTCGAGCTCATGCCAGGTTTAAAGAAATCCAGACTGCCCTCCGTAAGCAAGGCCTTGCCAACCGCAGAGCTAGAGTACTTTTTGAGCTCGAAGCAGCCGAAATTGCAGCGCAAGCGGGGACATGCATAAACTGTATTATCATATCCGTAAGCTCTCCCCCAAGGGTCCCCGTGAGAATATCCACATCCGATCACCCGCAGGTCAACTGATCTCGCCCGAGGCTGAACATGATGCCATCATACAGTACTACACCGGAGTTTTCAGTCGCGACGCTGCCGAACCCCAACCGGCTTGCGCACTGCAATACGAGCACTCTTTCACACAGGAAGAGCTTACAGTTGCTTTATCCAAACAGAGAGGTGGGCGCGCGTTCCCGCCAGGATCCGCTCCACCTGAGCTTTGGAAGTGCCTTGCCCCAACCCTGTCCCGTCATGTCCTTCCATTGATAAATTCCCACCTTTCCCCGGGGCCGCTGTATATCCCTAGCATTTGGACGGACTGTTGGTTAAAGCCACTCCCGAAACCCAGTAAACCCCCGACCTGTGCTGCCAACCTCCGACCAATAGCGCTGCAGGATCCGTTAGGGAAGTGCGTAGCGCGTGTCATCAAATCCCGCATCCAAGATGAAATCTTGGACAAACTTGCATGCACGCCTCAGTTTGCATACTTACCAGCACGGAGCACAGCTAGCGCCATCAGCCGTGCGGCACGCTTTTGTGCGGCCGTCCGTGATAAGCTGCAGTCCTCCCGAATCGAGGTCCGAGATCGCAAGGCAGGGAAAACCCGCTCCCCCATCACAGGAGGAGGCTTGCTAAGTATCGACATGAGTAAGGCGTTCGACTACGTGAGCCACTCGTACCTCGCGTCCTCGTTGAGGCACTTGGGCATTTGCGAGGACACCGTGCAGCTGGTGCTTGCATTGCATCATACACAGTATCATGTTACGCATAAAGGACACACTGGGGTGATTCACTTGCGTAACGGCATCAGGCAAGGTTGCACATTGTCACCCACCCTTTGGGTGTGCGTGACACATTACATGCTACACCAGCTCGCGAAACGCCTCGAGCAATTTCCCAGTCTTGGGTCCCCGACTCAGTGGATTGAACGTGCTATCACCGCATTCGCAGACGATTTCCTAGTTACCTTTGATCTTGACTGTAAGCAGGACTTGGTCCACATGTGTGTTCGAATAGGCTGTTTGTTTACAACCCTACAGGAAGCAGGGATGCATATCAACCCCGATAAGTCGTCATTGCTTCTCCGCTCCTCCGGCAGCACCCTCGCGAAGTGGGTCAAGGCGCGTACTTTCAGGCGCCACGACCAAAAGTTCATTCGACTTGGCACGCCCTTTCAGCCGATTGATGTTGCGCTAACCAACACCATACCCTACTTAGGCACCGTTATGTCCTTTGATGCATGCGAAACCCGGACAGCGGACCTGCGTATTCGTCAGGCAAAGGCCGCCGTAGCCCGGCTTGGCCGAGTCCTTTTCAAGAAGCAAGGCCTCAGTTTACAGCATCGCCTTCGCGTGTATCGCACATGCATTCGTAGCACTATGAGTCATGGCTTGGCCGTAGTTGGCACTTCACCCCAGGCCCTCAGCCGACTTCGTAGCCTTGAGTCCAAACATGTGCGATGCATCACAGGCAACCCCCGGAAGGAGGACAATGAGTCCATCGAAGTCATTTTCCAGAAGTTTGGGTACACTGGTATTGACGCTTTCCTTCTAGATGCCTCCAAACGAAGACTGGATACCCTCACCCGCACCAAGCCCAGCTACCCAGGCATTACGGATGACATAGAATGGCAAACTGCTGTCTACCAATCCTACCTAAACCCCGTGCCCACACAAACATCCCAAAAACCAGTACATCCTACACTGTCCATTTTCCCATGCCCACACTGTGACAGAACCTTTGACAGCCAGCACGCGATGCGCACACACTGTGCACGTTCACATAAAATCAGCTTTGTTAGACCTGACCTCCAACTAGGCACAGCTCGGAATGAGGTGGACATTGCTCAGCATAGCGTCGCTGGCATGCCAACGTGCAGGCATTGTGGTTATGCCTTTCGCAAATGGAGTGGCTTCAAAGGCCATATCTTGTCTGCATGCCCAGTCCTGCATGCCGTCGGTCCGGCTGTTGCCACACACACGCCTACACCTCATGTACCCGAAGGTCCCGAAGAAGAAGCCCAGCCAGTCACGACTCTTGCTTCAGCCACCGGGCCTGCTGAGCAGCCCGCTGCGGGGCCTATGCTGGCTGACATGCCTGAGACTTCAGCGGCATCATTCGAAAACCCTGCCCCGACGCAGCCTTACATTACCCCTAATACCCCCATGTTTCAACGACCTGAAGTTTTACAGGCTTGCCGCGATGACTGGGTTACTTTTGCCGAGACCGAAGGTGAAAACCTCAAACAGTACTGCGCAATTTGCACACAGTGGTGTTCGCCTGATAAAGGTGGCTTCAAGTCACACCTGCGCAGAACTCACGCTGATCTATGGGCATCCCACTCTGATCTTCTTGCCGAAATCAAGCATCATCATCGGCTCAAATACCGAGGGCCCTGCAAGGCTTGCAAGTTTGTGCCAGGTGGCGCTCAGAAAGGCGCGTTCCACACCCACACTTGTACTGCCTACTATCAAGCATGTCTCTTGCATCTCCTGAGCACGCGACCTGAACTAATCACGAACAGGTCCCAACATGACGACGCCGGCAGCGCTAGTCAAGGAGATGTTCGGACAGGATTTGCCCTCACTCGCGACGACGCCAATGGAGACAGACCGACCCCGACGACACAATCCCGACGATCGACGACCGAAGTGGCAGAAGCCAGATGGGAAGGGCAGCGGCTACCGCCCGGACAAGCGCATCCGCGAGGACAAGGACAACGACAGCCAAAACTGGTTCACGAACGCGGAGGACTACCAGCTCACCGACCAGATATCGGGGGAGGAAGTCCGTCGCCTGCTGGCCATCCTAACCCGCCTTTGTCTGCGACAGGAGGACGACATCGCCGCCACACGGGCAGACAGCGCCTTCCTTTTCTACATGGAGACCAAGCCGGACCCGGAGCTAGCCTCGAGCCCATACCAGCCGTTCGCCAACAACTTCTATGCCGTAGCACAGCGATGGCAGCAGATCAAGGAGAACACGCCACAGAAACTGGATCTGTCCCTTCGCTCCACCTTGCTGCTGGCCTACATGACCGAATTCCACGAACGCCTGAGCCACGCCATCGAGCCGAAGAACAAGGAGATCTGCGTGAAGGCAGGCTGGATGCAGGAGACGACGAACGCGACTCCATGCTGGACTTACGCGAAGTGGGACAGCGAGAAGAAGGTGAGCATAGTGGACACGAGCAAGACACCGGTGGCCCACTCGAAGATCCTCGACGCTGTAGCGCACAGCTTGAAGCTGCTCGGAGATTCGAGCCTGATACATCGATTCAGGGCGACCCGCCCACTCGCAGAGACTTACGAGTCCAACATCCTCACGTTTCTGATGCTTGTGAGCAACAGGGGCCAGGAGGCAGAAAATCTCTTCTCCACGATGGCCCTCCTGACAGATTGCAATGCCACCCAGCTTATGCGCACCCGGTTTGCCAAGGAGAGACTTCGTCGCCAGCCGTTGGCACAGGTTCTTCAGCGCGAGGCGTACAACCTCCTCAGAGCAACGAATCCGCACAGCAGCAACTCCGGCGGCCATGCCTAACCCGCGAACCGAAGCTGAGGCCTACTCCTGTCTACTTACGTAACCCACACAACGTCTGTTATCTGAATGCGTCCCTCACCGGCCTTCTCTGGGCAGGTGAGATTGCTGAGAAAGCCGATGATTGTTTTGGTGCTCAGGCCTCGGCTTTCAAAGCCCTCCACACAGGTACTGCGCGCAAACCTGTCTACGTACCAGGCCTGCTCAACTGGGCTGGCCTTCTGAGAGGCTGGCGTAACCTGTCTCAACAACATGACTGTGCAGAGTTCACCGATTTCTTGTTCAACAGGTTGCAGCCTCCCGCATTCCAGGGTGTATGGGAGGCTAGACTTAATGATGGAAGCATCGTCGAATGCCGAGACCGCGGAAGTGTCCCGCCCTCGCTCCCTATAGACATACCTGAGTCAACGATCTCCCTTCAAGAGCTGATTGAAGCGTGGCACAGCCGCCAAGAGGCTACTTTGGCCTTTACGCGAGCACCACGGTTTTTGCTCCTGCAGCTGAAGCGTTACAGGCACAACGACACTGAGGCTGTCAAGCTTAAAACCCCGGTTACCCTAAGCCCTAATGCTAGGATCCTGGTGCCTCGGTTCACTTCGGACTCACTTTGCACTGAGCCAGTCCCTTACAAGTTGTGCTTCACTGTGGTGCACGAGGGCAACACCGTGCACTCAGGTCACTACCAGTGTGCAATGGCCACCGCCGGTGAGCCAGCAGTGCTTCTCTTGAGCAACGATGGCACAGCTGCTAAACCAGTCAAGGCTAGTCAGAAGTCCTGGATTGAAGCCAACTGTTACTTAGTGTGTCTTCGTGCCATACAACCCTAGCTTGCTCTCGTTGCTCGGTGAGGGGTTTGGCCGTGCAATGCAAGTAGCGATAGCCGTTTGCTGCCTTGAGCGCCTTTAATCCTCAGGTTCTATGTTTGACCCGCCATCCCAGTGACCTACAGCACTTTGCAGCAAGCGCCGTCTCTCAACAGAGTTCCGCTGCCTGCAATCGCCTGCAAAGCACTTGTGACCAGTGCCTGTGTAAGTCGACAGTTTTCTGAGCGAGTGAAGCCGTAGCCACGCCTTAGGCTGTAGCCGGTAGCCGTACTGTATGCAGTGATTCTCATCTTGTTGCTTTGCATGCACTTCACGGTTCGACTGCTTTGCAGTCCGCTGCGAGTCGAGCTCTGAACTAGTTCTGCTGTTTTGTGTAGGTTCAGCGCTGAGCTGTCTCAGAAGAGCGGTTGCTGTAGCTTCAAGCCGGGCCATAATATATGGCTTGCCTACCGACTGCCCCCGCAAGGCAATTACCATGTTGCTGCGAACGGAAAGGAAAAGTGAGTTTTTGGCAAAGCACTTGTGACCAGTGCCTGTGTAAGTCGACGGTTTTCTGAGCGAGTGAAGCCGTAGCTACGCCTTAGGCCGTAGCCGGTAGCTGTATGCAGTGATTCTCATTTTGTTGCTTTGCATGCACTTCACGGTTCGACTGCTTAGCAGTCCGCTGCGAGTCGAGCTCTGAACTAGTTTTGCTGTTTTGCGTAGGTTCAGCGATGAGCTGTCTTAGGAGAGCGGTTGCTGTAGCTTCAAGCCGGGCCATAATATATGGCTTGCCTACCGACTGCCCCCGCAAGGCAACGACCACGTTGCTGCGAACGGAAAGGAAAAGTGAGTTTTTGGGTTTCTGAAATGTGTTTTCGAGTGCCTTTATTCCGAAAGCAGCCTTTCTCGATTTATGGTTCTTCATAAGTCGATTTTCCGCAAGTTTTCTCAAATTTCCCATTTGGCAAGAATTTATGTCGTTGATTGCTGCACTGTGCAATCTTGCGGAAAATCGTTTATGCTGCGGGCAGACATGTGGCTTTGAGGTATCCAATTGTGGGCGGAGAAATTTTTCTTTCCTTAGAGGTGGGCCCAGCCATGGAAGGAGACCTGGTCGATCTTGAGGGTCTCTTTCAGAACGAAGAAGATCTGGGTTCTTTGATCTTGCTTTGGAACTTTGTTGGGCATGCCGATCGCTTGCAGCTGCTGCTTGTGTCGTGGTTTTCTTCGTACCGGGTTCGACCGTCTGCTGCTGCTGATTGTCGTCCGCAGGGGCTTGTGAACTTCAGGCTTCTCCAAATGCCCTCCACAGGCGCGAAGCAGCTTCTTCTGCCTCGGTCGTTGCGGGGGGTTCTCCTTCGGAGGGCAGTTCCGAAGCCATGTCATGGAGTGCTCTCCCGAGGCGTCTGTGGAGTGGATGTCTTCGCTTCGGATCTTGCTGCATGTGACTGGTCTGGCAAGCGATGCGGCACTACGCACTTGGAGGTCTCGTGCTATGCACGGAGTCGCTCTGGCTCATCAGCCAGAGTCTGCTTTGTGTGCTGGCTTTCATACTGCCCCTCCATCACAAGAGTGGTTGGCTACCAAATCTGGTGCAAACCAACTTCTTTTGAGGTGGTCCACCGTCGGGACAAGGATCTGTCCATGGCAACTAAGGTGCACTCGAGGGCTGAGGTGGAGTCGGCAGAGCTGGCTCGTTGGAGGAAGCAGCTGGTTGCATTGCTTAAGGAGTGCGAGATGCCGGTTTGTGGCCATGCTGTTTTTGCCACGGACCCGGAGAAAGTTTTCATGACTAGCTCCGGAAATCTCCGGGCCGCGACCTTCCGGTCACGCGCTCGGGAGTGGATCAAGTTTTCTCTGTGGTTCGGCACCACAGAGGCCAGGCCTTATCCAAGTCATGTGGGGCTGCTCATAAATGACATTGAGGAGAGGCGGGAACAACCTTGCTCGCGCGTTTGAGGTCTGCTTTTACCGCTGTTGCTTCCTTTGAGAGGGCAGGGGGCACCAAGTGTGCGAACAGCGGAGCTTGAGGTGGGAGCCTCGCCAACGAGGCGTGCGGTTCCTTTTCCCATTTTCATGGTCTCGTTGTTGCATCGAGTGAGTACCCCAAGTATTTGCGGGCTTATGCATGGGTCAAGATTTTTCAAGTTTTGGACCTCGAGCCGGTCGGATGATCTCCAGGGTGCTGCTTTCGATATCATGGTTTTCTCGGAGCTGGGCTTGAGGGGTCACTTTGATCGCACCAAGACAAGCGGAGCCGGGAGGAAGGCTCGCTTCTTGCCATTCTTCATCTCGGCCGAGGCATGGCTTGTGAATTGTCACTGGCTGGAGCAGGGGCTGAAGATCTGGAAGGGTGCCGAGTTCAGTTTCAAGCTTGATTTCATGGTACCACGTCCTGCACGAAACTTGCAAGCATGTCGACCGGTGCTTGCATCGTATGACTTGGCTACTGCCTCGAGGTTGCTTCTCTCTTCCTTAAAAAGACCCCGGTCTTTTATGAAGACGACTGGTATCTCACCGAGGAGCCTTGGTTTCGCAACGATGAACTTCTGATGGCTTTCCCGTGAACATTCGGAGCGAGGGTGTATGGCAGATTTGGCGGCTTGGGCTGGCATTGACGGAGAGCGCAGGGATTATCTTGGCTGCTGATGTCTACGTGAGGTTTTCGTGGAAGGTGGTTTCCAATTTCCAAACATTTCTTTTGAATGCGTTGAGGAGCAGCCGTACCGTTTCTTCATCTCAGTTCTCGGGACCTTCTTAGGTGCGAATTCTACGAGAACTTGGAAGAAGTGGAATTTGTCGCCGAATGTAAGCACTGCTTTAGGTCCGAGCAGAGTGCGGCTTCGGTTCCAGAAGCCGCGGAGTTCTCTGCCAAAAAGTCGTCTAGCACGTCGCTAGACGACTGTTCCTCGAGTAGTGATGGATCATGACGATGCTGTTCTGGCCGTGGAAGGTCAGTGCAATGGATGTCAGTATAAAAGTCCCGGGTGCAGCTGGTTTTTCTGGCCGAGTGGAGGGGCTTTACTTCTGCCTCTTTGAGCTTTTCACGTTGTGAACGCTTGCAATATACCGAGTGGCCTTGTGATGGGTTGCACGGGTATTACGGTATTCCTGCGACTCGTGGCATTCGGGCGGCGGCAGAATGTGCAACTTTTGATCTGCTGTGAACATTCATGCTGCACTTTGCAGGGCGATGCGGGCATGCAGGCAACCTCGTATATTTCGCAGGGTGATTGGTTTGCATTTGCGTGGGAACCGTTCACGAGGAAGGGGGCCGTGGAGGTCAACTTCGGGCAGGCCCAGGCTGGGACTGGAGCACATGACTCCAGAGCAACAAGCTTTCCTCGCGCACCTAAGTCCTGATCTGCGCTTTCATCTTGATCAGGCTAATGTGGAAGGCCGTTGGCAGACCCGCTTTGGCGAGCTGGGAATGATTTCGGTTCCGCTGTTCGCGGGTTTGGATGAGACTCGTGAGAAGCTTCGAGCGGCTTTGGCCGCAGATCTCCCGCTGAACTTTGAGGAGAATGTGGGGAAGCGGTTGGAGATGGCTCGCATCCTCAGTGCGTGGGAGGCGGTGTCAAGCTTCACTTGGAGGTGAGCGAGAAGAATAGGGCGGAGTCGCGGTCGGGCACCCAGCGAAGACTTCTTCAGCCGAGCAACATAGCATGAGGGTGGCGGTTGAAGCTGTCGCTTCTCTTGAAGAGGCTTTCAATCGGGCCACGGTGGATACAGAAATCTTGCAACGGCACCTCATCATTCGTTTCTCTCTCAACATTACTGCGAAGCCTCCGATGACATGCCCAATTCCTGGGTAGAAAGGCTTACGCGAGTGGGCGAGGTCGAGGTCGTGGGAATGGAAGGGCGGCTCTTTGGGAAAGGGGGCTCGCAACCAGCAACTCAAGAACGCCAATCAGGACCCTTCTGAGCAGAAGGGGAAGCTTGCCAAGAATGCCATGGTGACCCCCTTTGTTGGCGCTACAATCGCAAGGGCGGATGCAGTAATGGCCAGTGCATGTTCAAGCATGTGTGTCAGCGCTGCCTTTCAGGCGCGCGTGCTTATTTCAACTGGTCAAGCGCCCGACTGGTGGCAACTGACTTGGAGCTTCGGCTCCGGTGGTGGGGGATGGCCATGGTGGACCAGCTGACTCTGCCTTTCTCTGCATGCTTTATCTTCATGCGGGTTCACCCCATAGGAGTGAGCTAGAGGCTTGGGTCGCGAAAGACTCGCAGGCGCAATCTTTCTCTGTGCCATGGATGAGTTTGACATGTCTTTCCTTGAAGGTCCTGGCGAATCGCGCTGGGAGTCCGTGACGGATGCTACAACTTGGTGTTGCTCTGCCCCTCTGCTTCTACCTTTGCTCGGGGAGTTTTGACAGGCTCTTCTGGGCGGGCGCCTCTGCGGGATGATCGGTGGCCGGA